TAAACACTGACTGATATATTTTGTGATAGGTATTCTTGGTGCAGTAGCTTGAATTTTAATAGTTGTTTTATTTCTGTTAACTTTGATATTGAAGATAGTCAAGATGAGCCTAAGGTAAGATACCTGTTCAGAATGCCTTGGAAGTGTTAAAAAAGACAGACCAGATTACCAATTTTCAAATAACAAGAATACACACTAAGTTAATAGTGATTTAAAGACACAGCAAGATATCATTATAAACATGAGTCAAAATATTTTAGAACTATATGGTACTGGCTAAGAGTGATATTAAGATTGGGAAAAATGCAGGTCAAAATGACTAGATTTTAAAATTACACATTTCCAAGGATGAAAATTTTGAAACATCTGGCATCTAATTCAATCTTTTCCTCTAGCATACATATCCTATTATATAGGCCCTTGTACAGCCACCCGCACTAATCTCAGTTAACTAAATCCCTTCTTCTGGATCACAATAACAAGAGCCAACACAATAATTTTATTGCAGTTCTTCTCTCAAATAATTTCTACCTAAACAAAACTGAGTCATATCTAAAATCTCATTTTTTAGTTTCTTTGGAAACATTTCTTTTGGTATTACCACTTTTAATTATGTGTTCTTAATTATTTTTGGTTATTTGTATACTTATTTATATACCGTAACTCATTTAAATTCCTTTCCTTTGTTATTTAGTTAAATATATTGATCATCTCCTTACCCCAGAAAAAATCAGATTATGGAGGGAAGATCTTTTAAGTAATTGTTTTCGATATTGTAACTAAAATATTTTTTTCATAAGAAAATATCAGTATGTTAAAAATTCCTACAGCTCTGAGAAATGTTAGTTGTTTCTGAAAACCCTTTTCTATATTAGTAAACCATGTATTCATAAATATTGTGCAATGTTTTTAGTTATGTACAATTTTTTACCGTGATATAAAACAGTCATACTTATTAATAACACATGTATCCTGAAGAGGAAATATAACTTACCTAACTTACTTATGACAATAAAGTTTTGGTAAGAACAATTGAAGAATGTTGAATTGTCCAATTCATTAAAATTTCCAAAGTACTTAAACATGGAAATGTATAAAATTATAGGAGGGAACAGTTATTTTATTTCCTTTTCAAATATGAGAAAATTATGTGAGGACAAATATGTAAATGTTATTATAATATTATAATAGTTCTCGTCTTTTCTATTTCTCAAAATTTTGCTTGTTATAAACCCTTAAGAGTTTCTATGATTTTATATAATTAACATCACACGCCAATTTCTAATCAAAAGCATTTTCTATCATTTGTCTTCCAAATTTCATCAGTTTCACTACTGACATGATTCAGAATTTCAGTATCACACTGTTTCATCTACAATGACCATCTTTTCTGACCTAGTTAAAAGCTTCTTTTCTGGAAGCTAAGGTCAAATGTTGCCGCTGTGAAATCTTTACAAATCTTTCTCACAAGCAGAATTTGTCCTTTCCTTAAATGTGTACTATTAAGTCTTTATTTCTTTCAGACCTTGTATCTCACTATACTGCAATTATATTTTGTGTCAGCAACTGAATTTGGCTGTCATTAAGAAACTCATTAACTTTCTATAACATGAAAGAAGTCCAAAGGAAGGCAGTTAATGCTGTTAAAGTGGTTCCTTTCCTTTTTGTTCTATGTCTTCCAAGTTCAAACTCTGCTTTCCTAACTCAAGCTATTTGCAGTGCCTCCAGCCATCACATCAGTGTCCTAATCAAGGATGAAAAAGAAGGCAATGCAAACTGTTCTCTCAGCAGTCTTATCTCAACCTGCCCCCACCATGCATACACATACATACACACATATACACAGAATTATGGCACTTTCTAAGAAGTCCCGCTCAACTTTTTGTTTTTTTTTTTTTTTTGGTACCAGGAATCGAACTCATGACCTCAGGCTTGCCAGGCAAGCGCTTATGCCACTGAGCTATATCCCTGGCCCTCCCACTCAACTTCTATTCATGTCAGTGGCCTACATTTAGTCACATGTGCTCCCTTATATGAAAAGAAAGTTGGAAATTTAGGGTTTTATTTTCCTTCTAGATACATAGCCATTCCCAACAAAATCAGGCCTCTGACACTTAAGAAAAGCAGGTAGAAAGGATGTGTAACATGTAATTAGCAGACTCTACCATGTTTCCCCACCGTATTTCTTTTGTTACCTGTGGTGTAATATCCTGAGAGACTTAGAGTATGTATCGTGCATTTTATATGTTTAGGGTTTAGCACAGTACATGATACACGGTTTTTAACTGTTCTTTCTTACACTTTATGAAGGGCTATTTCATGTAGTCTGAATAGAAAATACTCCATATTTTACCCGTATAATATTAACTGTATAATATGTACTGTATGTTGATTTTATCATGTTTGGTTATTTAAGAAAACAAAGATTTATCACTTATGAAAAGTGATAATAGTTATTGATAATCATGTAACCTATGTTTATTAATAGGTTCTTTATTATTTATTATAGTTCACCATCGTTCTTGATAATCATGTAACTCATGTTTATTTTTCAATGTTTTGTTGCTTTCAAGTGAGTACCCAACTATTGATTTTCATGACTATTCTAATTGCTCGAGTATATGGACAACTTTCTCCTTCCTAAGATAGAATCCTAAATATAAACTGAAATAAAATAACTTTCAAGATATCCTTTGCTACTAAAACAAGTAAATTTTTTGGCCTTATTATTCATAATTGCACGGGAAGAGTCATCCAATTGGAAGTGATGCTAAAAAGCCTTGCCTAGCTTAAATTTGTATGGCCAAAATGAAATTAACATAAATATTTCAGATATTGCTATGTGTGAAGTACTTACCTATTTCTCAGTGTTTTTTCTTCTCCATGTTTCTATTTATCTGAATCCTGGTGGTGCTTTGCCTGAGGATATTAGGCAACTACAGCAGAGTGTTATCAGTTATAATTTTAGATACTATTTTAAATGTTTACTTGGCCACAACCTTCTTATACATTTGAATCTAGCATCTTTTAGGTCAGTAGTTTTCAATTACAGATGCACACCAGGTTTCTGTATTAAATTTAACTAAAATACAGAATTTATTGGACCTGTTCCAGATTTGCTTAACCTCTTTGATTGATAAGAACTACATTTTTTTTTGTTTGTTTTTTTCCGGTACCGGGAATTGAACTCATGACCTTGTGCTTGCCAGGCAGGCTCTGTGCCGCTGAGCTAAATCCCCAGCCCCTCTTTGATTGATATTCTGTCAGTATATTATATATTCTTCCTATATGTTTGAGATATTTGTGGCATAATATGTAATTATGTATCTGTATCATTATGTATATCTGTAGTTTTTTATTTATAAAAATTGTGTTCATCCTTTGTTTTGTAAATCAGATATAACATTTGTTGTCTTCACTGGAAATGAGCTAAATTATTGTCCTATAGATGTTTTGTCAAAAATGTTGTGAATTGGCTTTATTGTTGGTATTGTCTCTAACATCTTACATTCTGGCCCATTAATTTATCCTTCAGGGAAATGAGTCTGTAGATAACTTATAAGTAGATAAGAAGAAAGGATCTGTGATTCAACAACTAAAATAGTGGGTTGTCTTAAAAATTTTCTTCATTTGGTAAAATGAGAAACTGGTCCTTACTTTGAGTGTCGCTTCCTGGTTCCAGTGTAGATTCCTCAGCCTACTGGCAGAGATCCTTCATCCCGCTGGCACAGACTTTCTCGCTTCCACCCCTGCCCTTCGGGCATTCCCAGCACAGATCCTTGAAACAGACCTGCATGAGACATTGTTGTGGCTCTTGGCCTCCAGTTGGACTCATGGGGGGGCATTATTATGGGCTCTAGGTCTTCAGATGGACTCATGCAGGACATTGCCATGGGATCCAGGCCCTCGGGTGGATTCTTTGGGTCTTAAATGTGTGGACAGATTTCCTGCCCTGTTTTGTGCTTGACTCTTTGGGTGACTATTATAAAATAATCCTATAAATTATGTGTCCTTTATTAAATTGTTCCCTTTGCAAACCCTGACTACAACAGTAGATAAATTAAGAAAAAAGGAAGTGTGACTGAAGAACTAAAATAATGGGTTGTCTTAAAATTTTTCTTCTTTTGGTAAACTGAGCAATTGGAAATGTTGGGTTTTCCTGTGAATATTTTTTTAAATTATTCATCCAAAACTGGAACTTCTTGTCTAGAATATAGAGAAAAGAAGAGGAAGAGTAAAGAACAGTATGTGACAGCTAGTAAGTTGATTTAAGAGGAACAAATTAAGTTCCTCATTTTCAACTGGGAAAGTGGGTCTGCAGGGAGTAATAGCGGGAATGCCAAAGTCTCCTTTGGGAGTCAGGGAAGATTTCACCTAGGAGGTAGCTTCTGAAGTGGGGCTTCAAGGATTAGCGAGCGCGGAATGGCAAGACATTCCAAGCAGAGTGCATAATGTGAGCCAGTGAAAATACATGGCACAAAAGATCATTACATGTCCTGCAGCTCTGAGTACCCTGGTGGCTGGAAAGTAGCATTCTTGAAGTGAAGGGATTGAGGGTGAGCTAGGGACTATTTTATCCCACTTGGCTCGTTTTTTGTTTAGTTCATTGCACAGTGCTGGGCACACACACTGCAGGGGCTCAATAAATACTTGAATTGAAAAAGGGTGATGCAGTGTGCTGGGAATAGGACCTTCTGGAGTCTTCGTCACCGCAGTGTGACCTTGGCCAACTCTTTTCTCTGGGTTGTGGCTGCTGTTTAGTAACCAAGTGCGAGTGGAAAAGCGGAGGAGGTGGAAGCTGGTTTGAGGTATCAGCTCTTACAACCCCCAAAGTCCCTGATTCGGTGTGTGGAAGGCAGGGCAGGCCCTGTGGGGCTGCAGCCTCAGTTCCTCCTCCGGTCCAGCAGGGGGCAGGCGGAGCGGCTTCACACTGCCCTTCCTCTCCGGGCAGGCGTCCTGCTGACTGCAGTGGACGCGGGCAGTGAGCGCAGTGGGCGGGGCCCGCCGGTGCGGGAGGCGGTGCTGCACCGACTGGCTGGGCCGGGCGGCTGCGGCGTAGGCTGCAGAGGCCACTGGGGCGAGGACTGGGTGGCTGGCGGGCTGCTGTGCCCTGGAGCAGCTTCTTCGCGCGGCCCCGCACTCCCTGGTCAACAGTGGGCCACGACACTTAGTGCATCAGTAAGCTGCGGCGGGCGCACCCTGGGGGCGGCGGCGATCTCGGACAGGTTAGATTGGGGGCGGGGGCAGGGGCAGGCGCGGGAGCACCCAAGGCCGGAGAAAGCCGAATCAGACCGTCTCCAACTATGTCCGACGAGGCGCCGGCCACCACTTCCTATGAGAAGTTTCTAACCCCTGAAGAACCATTCCCGCTCCTGGGACCCCCTCGCGGGGGGGGCGCCTGCCCCAGCGAGGAGCCGGGCTGCCTGGACATCAGCGATTTCGGCTGCCAGCTCTCCTCCTGCCATCGCACCGATCCGCTCCACCGCTTCCACACCAACAGGTACGTGCCGCGCGGGAGGCAGAGGTGGACTTTGCTCACCGCTGCCTCGGGCTGGAGGACGCCGCGTCGCGCCCCTGCCCGCCTTCCGGACCTTCGCCCCTTCCCCCACCTCTCCTCGGCTCGCGCTCGTTCCCGGGCGCTTTCCCCGCCCCCCTCCCTATTTTCCCCCTCCGATTTTCCTTCCGTTGGCGTTTTTACTAGGTTTCTTTTCTTCGTTGATCTAGTTACATGCGGTTCCTTCCTCCCCTGCCTTGTCCTTTTGACCCCCTCCTCCACCTCCGGTCTGTGCCCTGAGAATCCGAAGCCGCCACCCTTGATTTTTTCAGATGCTCTTCTCTTCTCGTACACCTGCAAAAGTTTAACCCCTTCCATTTTCGGCGCGCTATACTGTGGATTTCTGGTGGCTCAGAATCGATCCACATCTTTGGGAAGGTGGCACTTTTAAAACTAGATATTCCCTTTCCCAATTTTTAACCTGTTTCACACTCCCCTCGTTTTTTTTAGCGGTGCGCTTGGAAACTCGTGGATCCTTTTTTTGTTTTTTCCTCTCATTTATGAACACTGCTTTAGCGCTTTAGACCTTGCCAAAATGTGTAAGCTTAAATCTCTAAGATTCCTTCGTGTAACATGTCCTTTGGCTTACCGCACGCCCCGTAGTGATGGGGGTCAGAGCAAGGTTTAGAATGACCTTGTTTACACAGATTTATCAGAGGATGCCCTTCTAACTGGTTTCATTGAAGGACGATTTTCTGGACAATTCTCTCATGGAAGCGTTTAAGTTTTATGCCAGACGTTCTGGGGGATTTGAAGATGTTTCAGGTATAGCGTTTACTTTTACTATAAGTGGATATTTAAGGTGTGTGTACAAAGGGCTGGGCGAGTGTGTGGTTAGGGGACTAGGAGAGAGATTCATTTATGAAAATACAGTACTGGCGATAAGGAGTCTAGTTCTGATTTCTCATCCAAGTTTACTATGTGAGTTTGATCAAATTCCTCTACATTTTTGTGTCTTTTACGTATTTTCCCCCCTCTACCCCTTAAATCAAGCTAGATTTACTCGGTTCCTAAAGGAAGATAGAAAACATGATTCTTATCTAACAGAAAGTTACAGTCTGTGGAAAAACATGTTTTTGTTGAATATGTTCACAGGATCAGTGCAACACAGTTGAAAAGGAAGCAGCAGTAAATTTCTTACTATTCCACATCCTCATTACAAAAATGAAGAGACTGAGGACCAAGGAGAAAAGACTGAGTTCACCATCATATAACCTATTACAGAGGCCTACTCAGACCTAGACTACACTTGGAGCCAGTGATTAAACTTGGATCAGAACTAGTGGAACAATGTTACTACTCATTTTGGTTTCTTAAACTAACTCACAGAAGCCTAAATATGTAGTATTTAACCCATGATGTAATTAAGATGAATATAACTTGAATGAAATCAAGAGTGTTTAAGGTTATTTGGATTAGAAAATAATATCAAAGAATACCTTTGCATCTACTTGGTATTTAACTTTTACACCACTGGAGCAAGTCACATACCTAGGAAAGTTAAATGATTTCAGAATTGGTCTGATACTGAGGGCGAGGAAGTGGGGAGCAGAGGTTGAGGTTAAGCGTTGCCCAGAGGCATGGTGGTAATCTGGAATGAATAATTCTTACAGTTTATTCTGTTTTTTCTCCTCGGCGTCATCTTTTCCTTCAATTTCTTCTCCTTAAAAACTGGTAAAAGCCGGGCGTGGTGGCTCACACCAATAATCCCAGCATTTAGGAGGCTGAGGCAAGAGGATTGTTGCGAGTTCGAGGCCAGCCTGGGCTACAAAGTGAGTTCAGGACCAGCCTCAACTGCATAGTGAGACTCTGTCTCAATAAGACCGGGAAAAAAAACAAAACAAACAAACAAAAAAAAAAACCCTGGTAAAGTCAAAATGGTTTCCCAGAATAGGATAGGAAGGGTAGAAGGGTAAGTTGTTAAGCCTCAGTTTTTCCAAGTCAATCGTTATTTTTCCTAGTTACTCCCTTCTTTTTTAATTATTTATTTTTAATTTT